AAAATTAAATATAATAACAAGTATGAAATGAGTGAGTGAGTATGAGTGCCAGCTCCTAATCACATGTTTTACAGACCACCAATGGCTTCCTTTGGTTACACATAATTTTAATGTAGAGTATTGTATAAACCTGAAACAGAGCTGTTTCCTTGAACTTCCGCCTTGCTTTTATTTCACCAAAGCGAAGGGCAATAACAATGCCTTCTTTGGGCTCTGGAGCCACACGTTTTCTTCTTTCCTCTCTTATCTAGACAGACGAAAACAATTAAAATAATGTTTTTCACTAATTATTTCCCTTATTAATCGTTGCCAGCCTATTAAGTTACACATGTAATTTCCATATGTACATTATTGTGAGTTAAATAAGATACACTCTTCAATAGACAGTATCTGTTGTTTGAAAACTTACAATCACTTCTGTTTGAGACAGTTTTTGCAGCTCTTTGTCATCTTTCTCTGTTTTGTTCTCCTGCTGCACTTCATGCTCATGCTCCTGTGTTTGACCAACAGACATTATTTGTTTGTAATAAATACTAAAGAGACAAATTTAAAGCCCAATGATAAATGATAAAGATGAAATTTTCATTATGCCATGAGCAAGGGATTAAGAGAAAATCTGAGTCCCCAATGGGAATAGATGCCATGAACTCTCAGATACCTCTGAGCTAGGAGACACTTGTGGAGAGCTGGGCAATTTTACTGGGTTGGTATGTGGCATGCGTCCTGTATACATTGCTGATCATAGCAGTATCTGGGAGGCCATGGGTTTGATTCCCTTCAGGGACATAATGAACATTTCATGTTTATCATTAAAATTGTTGTATTTATTGCCATGTCACTGGAGTAGAATTGAGTTTTTAAATCTGCAGCACTCTGCATCTTTCCTTTTGTCGTGCTTTAAAGGTGTTTTAAAGTCCACTAAGTAAAACATTTTTTCTTCAATAACTGGTAGCATTTGTTGTTTGAATACTAACTTTGTCTGATGACTGATCAGTTCCCTCACATGCTGCAAGCTGGCGCTCTTGCTCGCGTCTCTCCTCACGCCATCTTGCAAGTTTTGCTCTAAGTATAGAAATTTACACCAAATTTGCCTTAATCATGCATGAAATGAGTGCTCAATGATTAGACTGTTATTTATGATTGGTTGTTAAATATGGTGTCTGTGATATGTAAGTTACACTACATAATAATTCAAGAAAGCAATGAAATTACCTCTCTAATGCAAGCGATTCAATCATAAAGGTTGCTCGCTCACATATGCTCATTGTTGAATGGGACAGCCAATCATAGTCGTCCATATCTGATGCTGCAATTGATTTACAAATAAACAACATGAAAGGTTTATATATTTTTAACTATTACTCCTTGCAAGCCTACTTTGGAAAATGTCTGTTGGAAGATAGAAGATTTCTGATTTTTTCTAAAACTCATTCATACTCTCTGAAAAAAAAAACGTTTTAAATCTAAGACGTAACCTCAAAATAGTAAAATTATTAACAGGGCTTTTCAGGACCAATGTTAACAAACACAGTTAAAAGAAACAGTCCTTTTTTATAAAGGCTGTATACTGGCAGGGAAAAGCTCAATTCAAAAAAAATGTTTTAATAATCTTCTTACAGCATTTTATCTTTTAAAGATATGTTCTTTTAATAAAGATATGTTACTCATACACTTTCAAACCCATTAAAGGCTCTGAACAAAAGCAGTGTTAACTCCAAACTGTTAGCCAGCTTACATTGTAGTAGCCCATTTCAATATGTAAAATACCACATAGGCACCAAACAAAACCTTTTGAAAAGCTTTTCGCCGGGGAACAAATAAATCACAAATGGGTTGGGGGTACACAATATGTAAGTTATACTTTAAAAATGCAGATCAATACAAAACAATTTTGGAAAATTATTTATCAAGTAACAAAATGAGGGTGGTTAAGTTTTCAGAGCAAACCATACTGATTTCAATGTCAAAAATTGTGTCACCTTCAATCCGCTCAATGAAGGTGAGATTTCTTCCGGCTGATGGAGTTAAAAATATCAACTGGTCCACATCATTACTTCTGTTCCCATACAATTTGAGTGCTGTTTAATTAAAAAGGACAAGGAAGTGTTAGGATAAGCAGAAAAGCAGTTTCATTAACAGAACTTGCTATCACACTTTTGAGATGTCATACAAATACAATTTGGCTTACTGTTAAAAGGGTTTCAGGAAATTCCTTGTTAACTATGTTTATGTTTAACCAACCTTCTTGGCCATCTTTGGATGTTGTTTCCGCAATCCAGAAGAGCCAACCTTCCTGGCATTGCCCAAGTACCCTCTGAAAAACCCTTGACAAAATGATAACATCTGAGTTAGTTTTAAAAAGTGTGCATATACAGTAAAATTTAAAATTTATTATTATATAAGTTGGTCGTTCCGTCGGTTGATCGGTCGATCCTTCTTTCCTTCCTTGGGTCGTAAACTTTTGTTTGTATTTCCGCTGACGAAGAGAAAAATGTGGTCGAATGAAATGTGTTTAATAACATGATGCATGCAATGCATGAATGTCGAGCAAAATAATAAATTATTATAAATGGAAAGCACTTATTAACTTCTTGGGGGAAAAAGAAAGAAATATCACATCAGAGGGAAAAGAAAAAGAAAAAAAAAATTTGTGCGTTTGCACGCCCGAGTCCTGAGGTTTAAATACATGTAAGGGACAAATGTAAAAAAAAAATTTTTTTTGCAACAAAGCCAAAACATTTTCATCTTTCTGCATATACTCATGCATGTACTTCATCGTGCAAAATAGTCATAGCCTAAAGGCCTTTGATTTCTTTGTGCAATTATTTACTGATCCTAAATTCAGTGCTGAGCATGGCCAAAGAAAATTTTTTGTTCAGGAAATTTTTCATGAATTTATATTGATGCACACCTTTACATAATATTGATTATTGCTCCAGAATTCACACCTTCATGCAGTAACAAAAAGGAAAGACAGTTTAATGTTGTCTTATGTTTTATTAGTACTCAGAAAAAAGTCCAGATAATGGACTTCAGACTTGTAACGGATACCTTGTAGATTTTATTTTTTCAGAATTTTTCTTTACTCCTTCCTCCAAAAAAAATCTGTTTTTTTTTCCATGGGAAATGGTGGACAAATCATAATGTTGATTTCTTTTGAAATTACATTAAGCTGTATTATTTTGCAATCAAATATCTGGTTGAATTAACAACAAACAGTACAATAATACTATACAATGTACATCCAAACCTCAACGTTGCCTCATTCAATTTCCCATGCAAAGTTGTATTGGGGCGCAGTAATAGTGCCACTACAGGTTTTTTATCCTCACGAGCCTGCCAGCATAGCTACATGTATTTGTAAATCCAGAACAAGAACAAGTTTAACTATGCAATAATCACAATTTTAAATTGGGGGCTCACGGTTTCAACATTAAAACCCCCACATAAATCGCCCACTTTCTAGCACAGGATTTTAGTCATTTCCCGCACGTATTTCTTGTAGGTGTTTTGTTGTTCACACCCTAATTGGAACGTTATTTGTACTACAAAGCTCTAGTATAAAATAAGTTCCATTTATGTATCTTGTAGTTTTATCCTGATGAAGTCTCAGTAGCATACGAAGCCGGTCGATTAATAAACTCAGTTATACAAGGCAAGTTGCTGTGTGCTGCTCTTAAGTTTTTTTATTTAAAAAAGAAAGCAAATAGATTAATTAAAGATTGACTGACCGACTGACAGATTGACTATAACAGCAACAATATACATGTATCTTTATTGCTTCTAATTCTCCAAAGGGAGACGTTGGTCTGATTGAATGAATGAATGAATGAA